GTTTGCGGGTCCCTGATCTCCTCGTCCGGGCAGCGAGGGAGCCCGCGTAGCTGAGGCACCGGCCACCATGGCCGGGGTCAGCTACGCGGCGCCCTGGTGGGTGAACCTCTTGCATCGACTGCCCCACTTCGACCTGCACTGGGAGGCCACTAGCAGCCGGTTCCGACCCGAGGACGCCGACTACCAGCAGGTAACGCGCGCCCCTGGCTGCTGGGTCAGGCTCCGGGTCACGGCCCCCTCCCCTGGGGCCTGGAGACCCCCAACCCCTTCCTTCTGAAGGGTTCCCTCTGGGCCCCGGGCCCCCTCCTCGAGGGTCCTCAAGATTCCGACTTCCCCACCTGTGTCACCAGGGTCTCTGCTGGGTCAGTAGAGTCTCCTCCCTCTCCCCAATGTCCCCCATTTCCATCCTGGGCGGGTCCGCCTGACACTGTTCTCCAGCTGAGCCCCATACCCAGGGTCCCCAGAAGAGCCTAGGCCTGGGCACCCTGGGTTCGGGCCGGAGGGGATTCCTCACTCCCTCCTCCAGCTGGGGAATCCCGCCACAGGCTATTGGCTGGTGAGTACCCTGGGCAGAGGCCAGCCCTCTGTGGCTGGTAATGACCCCCTGCTCTGTGGTCAGGCTGTGGAGTGTATGTGGCTGTGGGACATCAGCCTGGCAGAACCCTGCGGGAGGGAGGCCGAGCAAGGTGGGTCTCAGTCTGGAGGCTGGAAGAGGCTGAGCTGGGGCAAACCTAGAGGGGTGGGGGGCCCTTGGCTGCCCTTTCCCTGTGGAGCCCTAGGCCTGGCATCATGCCAGGACCCTTGGCGCCACCCCTCCTGGCTGTCATTTGAGTGTAGGTCAGTGGATCGGGCTGGGGGCACTTCCTTCCTCTGTGGGAATCAGCATTCCAGACCTGGATGATTGGTCACCCTGAGAGCACCCCAGGGGTTTGTTTCTGGGAATCACAGTGGAGCCTGGGTGGCGTGGGAATCCAGTGTTTGGGGGCGAGTAGCATCTCACTCAGCTGTATTCTCCCGGCCTCCTTTACCCAGACAACAGACAACCGGAAGCAGAGGTGAGGGCACCATGGGAGGTTTGCTACCCTGTTCCTTGCTTACCTGACCCCACATCTGCCAGCTGATGGTGTTTCTAAGCAGATTAGAGAGGGTGTGAGAGATTGGCTCAGGAGTGCCCACAGATGGCCTGGAAAGGTTTGGTGTGAACCCATGGCTGGGAGCGGTTGGGAGGAAGGACATGCACTTCATGCTCCCCAAGACTGTGTCTGTGTGGTGGTTGTGTCACTCTCTTCCTTGGGTGATTGCTGCAGAAGCAGCATGTGCTTTGCTTGGAAAGTTCTCTGCCTCAAGGGTTGGGTGTATTTTTCAGTTCTGAAAGGCTGGAGGCCCCTGGGGCATCCTGGTGGCTGTTTTCTGCCCCAGAGCATCCTGGCTGTTTCCTAGAGCCATGGGTGCTGCATGCTTGGGCTGAAACCACTGTTGAACTTGCTCCCACCCCTTGATTCTGGCACTTGTGGCAAGGAGGGAGTGAGGGGCAATGATGCCTGCAGCCCTGTTTTCTGCCCCCTTCTCTGCCCTGTTCTCTGCTCCACTGTGGGAGGGCTCTGACTCACTTCTCTCTGAGGAGCAGAATTAGCCACTGAATAATTCACGGCATGGAAACCAGTCTGTCTCCATCCCCTGCCGCCTCCAGTCTCTTTGCAGTGCTGTGGACATGCATCCTGCCTTTGCCCTCTGTGTGCTGATGCTTTTAGGCAGGCTCTTGATCTTTCTGAGCTTTGCTGCCTCTTGAAATCAGTGCTGCTATGCCTTCTTTGCAGAGGTGCGGTGGGCGTGGGCAGGAGGAGCTCCCTTCCTGGGTGGGTGAGTAGTTATTGGTTGTAGGCCCCATCCTGCCTCTCTGGTAAGGTGTTGCTACCCATGGGGGTGGTTCCTCTGTCCCACTCAGGATAGTGACTCCTTATCCATTCTGACCTAGGGCACCTTTTTTTTTTTGGTACCAGGGATCAAATTCAGGACCTTGTGTGAGACAGGTGGAGGCACCACTGAGCTAAATCCCCAGCCTGGGGTGCCCTCTTAAATGTCTGTGCCCTACTGGGGAGGAGGGCTTTTAGAGAGAAGGTATGTCCAGAAGTTAGGGGTTGTGGCAAGGGCAGACCAACCTCAGTCCTTTGCTGTTCCCTACCCTCACAGCCCACTGGCAGGGTCCCTGGTCAAGAGCTAAGCAGACCCCCAAGTCCACTTCAAGGCCTGTGTGAAACTGCCTCTCCCCAGCCCTCTTTTGTACAGTGTGGGTGTTTCTCATTTGCAGATTCAAAATTGGGGCCCAGAGAAAGGGCCTGGCCCAGCCTCCCCCCAGGAACAAAGGGGAGGCCAGTGTCCCTGCCCCACTGGCAGCTCACCTGGGGCCGCATTGCAAGGTGCTGGGACCATGGAATTAGGAACTGATGGGACTGTTGTGAGGGTGTGTGGGGGCCTGTTGGAAGCTGGGCCTGTGCCAGGGGAAGGGTAGAGTTGGCCTCCAGTCTCCACCAACGTTAAGATCTCTTGGAACTGAGGGTCTTAGGCCACCATATTTGCAAGGCCTTTATCCCAGGAGAGTGACCCTTCTGGTTGCCTCTGAGAGCCTGTGATGTTGCTGAGTGGATTCTATGGGTGTCATGCCATCTACGGGCAGGGACTAGAAGGGGCTTTTGGGGTCTGCTCTACATGGCTTCCCAGCTCAGGTTGCCCTCAGGGGCTGTTGGCTGGGTTCTCCTGGAATTGGGCTATTCCCAGCTTCCCACACTGCCTCAGTGGCTGCTGGGGGCTACTTAGGTCTCTTGGGATGGGTGGGGGCTCTTGGTGCACAGGGAGGCCCTGAAGGCTTAGAGGCGTGGAACCTGATATAGCATGTCCTCTAGGTGAAAGTCTTGATTGTTCAGGTAGGGGCCTGTCCTACCTGTCTGTAGTCCCCAGGTGTGAGTACTGGACCTTTGCTTGGGCTGGAATATGGGTCCTGGGATAGGGCATGCAGGGCCTACATCACATTCCTACCTCTGTCATTCCTACCATGTGACCTTGGGTGGTTCACCCACCTCTCTGGGCCTCTGTGTAGCTCTGGGGTCTGCTTCCTCATCTTCTGCCAGCCTTTGTGACCCAGCATGACCTCCTGTCCTCAGGCAGGGATCAAGTTCCTGTTGGCTGCTGCCAGTCTTTCTCCCTCTAGCTCTCTGTCTCCACCAGTTCAGGGCAGGCTGGAAGTTGAAAGGACTGTTAGGGCTAAGGTGGTATATAGGGGGTTGTTAGCTGCCTGCCAGCCCAGAGGTCCAGGGCTTGCTGCCTCCTCCCTGACTCCATGTCCATCCCCTGACCTGCAGTGGTCCAGATAGACCTTAGCACTTGCTTCAGGCTCTGCCAGCGGGTGGCCATTTCCTGTTAGAGCCCTGAGTGTTCAGATGTTTCAGTCAAGACTCTAACAAAAAGATGTGGCCAGAGCTAAGGAAGAAGATTGTGAGCCACAGAAGTAGCACATGCAAAGTCCCTGAGTCAGGGAAGCCTGAACCTTAGGCCAGAGCAAGGAGAAGCCCTCCAGTCTGTGTGGTCAGGAGTACAGGGTGTCCCAGGAGGAGTGCTGGGTGTCCTGTCCTGGAGGTTTGAGAGCTTACACCACGTAGTCTTCTTACAGAGCTGGGAGCCAGCTCATAAGAGCGCAGCCCTGTGGTTACAAGGTCAGCTGCTTGCCTGGCTGCAGACCTGTGGCAGAGCAGCCTTATCCTCTAGGCAGGGTTGGCCTCATTGTCATCTCCCCACAACTCAGGAAATGAACTCTGGTTAAACAGGCGGTGTTATCGCCTGTCTTCAGTTTAGAGGCAACACACGTTCACAGGATATGATAGGAAAAGAACCTCATGAAGACAGACATGCCCCCCAGCTGGATCATGTCCCAGAGAATGTCTGTATGCGGTGGAAGCCACTTGACACCACAGTTGAGCTGTGTACCTTATTGTTGCCTGCCTTGTAAACATTATATACCTTGGATGTGTCCATGGCCTTGCTTCTGGGTGTTTACCCAGTGTTGAGAAGGATTCTGTGGTTGCAAGTGATAACAGTGTGCTAGACACAGAGTGCCCTGGGAGCTGAGTGGAAGCTTCTAGAGCCAGTCCTATGAGGGTGGGAGTTGATGGGCTGGATTTAGGGGTGCAGAGTACAGGGACCAGTTGGCTCAGGGTGTTTGCATCGTGGTCAGTACTGAGTCCCAGGGAAAGATTCAGTGGGCAGCACCTGGGTCAGTGTCACCTTGTGGCCAGGGGCCAATTCAGTACACTCCCACAGGGGTTGGCTCTTACCCAGTATGGAAGAAAGGCCTTCCTGTAGGAAACAGTGGCTCCTGGTTTTGGAGACTCCAAAGTTCATGGCCAATGCTGTGCATGGGAATCTGATCAATTCCCATCAGATAATGGGGTTCTGGACCCCTCAGGAAGTTGTGAAGATGGATCTTCAAGAAGACCTGCTATGTGTGGGATGGGGTCATTCTTCCCCAGGGTGCTGGCTCCCCAAGGGCCCAGCTTCAGCTGACTCCTGTATGCAGGGGCCCCATACCCACCTCTGGGCTCCCATGGGCTTTCCGTTCCAGCCTCCTTGAGTCCTCCCTGGTACCTTGTTCCTTTCTGACTCTAGCAAGGACCCAGCCCTGTGCCCTGCAGCCCGGGATACAAGACACCTCCTCTGGCCATGGCCCCTGGTCATGTTCTAGGGGAGCAGATATTCTGTGGCTTTGAACCTCACCACACAGCTGTCCTACTCAAGGGACTCATGCTGTGTGTTTCTACAGTACTTTTCTAGGATATCCATGGTGGCCCAGGGAGGTAAACACCATTGCCCCTGCATGGGTAGAGGTGGGGCCCCTGGGCTGGAGAAAGGCCAGTGCTCCTACTCCAGCCCAGCTCCTTCCCTCCCTGTGGACACAACTTTAGTGGGTTGGGGCTATACCCCTCCCCCAGAGGTAGTTCTTAGAGAAGAGGAACGGATGTTGCAGCCTGGGGGTAGGGGTCAGGGACATGGGAAGTGCCTGGCTTTGGGGCCCGGAACAGCAGGTTGTGAGGGCTGCAGCAGGACTTTGAAGGGTGGACCTTCCTCTCCTGGGATCTCTGGGGAGCTGTCCCACCACTCCCTGACCTGAGTGCACATGATCCTCAGGGGCTTTCAGTCTTG